ACATACCATCTTTACAAATATAATTCTTTCCAAGGCAAATTCTTGTAGCTTGTGCATTGAGAACTTATGATGGATATTTTAAACGCTAAACCCCGTATAAGATTTTAAGCCCATGCCAAGACTTGAGGCTGACGTGGACTCAAGACGAAGCATGCAGACTGAGGCCGGGTTGACCTTAAGATAGACCAGGGTTGGTCGGGTTAGCTAGGCATGAGTTCAAATGATGTATGCATGCCAGGAGATGTGGGGTCAATCAAATGCTACTCAAAGAAGTAGAGGTCGTGTTTATTTACGTTGTGGGCTTGGCCACGACATAGGAAGCAAAAACTATAAAGATACTCGGTATTGAGAAATCATATAGAGGTGTTTACCAAATAGTTGTTAGTTGATTGTGTTAGTGTGTTTGACTAGTTGATAATATTGATGATTGTAAAAAAAATGTTTGGTAAATTAAAAATTGATCGAAAAAACTGCTTTGAGCAGCTTTTTGAATTTTAGAGTTTTGGAGCAATAAGTTGTTACAAAAAGCTAAGTAATAAAACAGTCATATTGATTGTTTATATATATATATATACATATATATATATATATATGTATATATATATATATATATATATACATATATATATATATATATATATATATATATATACATATATATATATATATATATATATATATATATATATATATAAAGACAATATATTGTCTTTATCACTACATTGTCTTTATATATAAAAAAAATTATTCATTATCAATAAATTAATTAAGAGAAATAATTTTATTAGTTATATTGTCTTTATATTTCTCCAATGTAAAAATTCTTTACATTCAAATTCATTAATTGATTATATTCACTACATTGTCTATTATCTTTTTTGTTCACTATTTTTTAATTAAATATCAAAGTTATAATACAAAATAATGCTATATATTTATTTACCAAGTATTTTATTAATACCATGAAAAAATTAAAAAAATATAATTAATAAAGTCAATCATATTAACTACTTGAGGGATTTGTTGACAAATAAAATATTCAAATCACACAACAAATTGATGTGAGAACTACCTCGCAATGTCCTTGTTTGACAATCAACAGTTAGCGGTTAACGTTAACGGATTATATTAGCGAATTTGACTAGCGAATTATATCAACGGTTGGTAAAAAGATATTTGAAAAAATTAGCTGTTTAGATTAACATGTAAAATGAACTAAGGGTATAATAATAATAATAATAATAATAATAATAATAATAATAATAATAATAATAATAATAATAATAATAATAATAATAATAATAATAATAATAATAATAATAATAATAATAATAATAATAATAATAATAATAATAATAATAACAATAATAATAATAATAATAATAATAATAATTGTTTTAAAAAATACAAAAATATAATTAAGCCAATCATATTAACAACTTGGGGAATTTATTGACAAAAAGAGTATTCAAATCACACAACAAATTGAAGTGGGAAACTATCTCGCAATATCATTATTTAATTGGCAATTAGCAGTTAGCTCTTCAATATTAGTATATATTTAATATTTTATGCCCTAATTTTTATTTGCTCTCCCTTATGTCCCGTATTTGGTTTCAACTACCATACTTATACAATTATTTTATTGACTATTATAATCAATCTTGACTATATTATCTTGCATTTGTAAACTTAGAATTGCCTATTTAAATACGCAAATTTAACATTCAATTATCTATGCATGAACAATTCTAATATAATCTTGCATTGATATACTTTAAAGTACTTATTTAAAAAAAACATTGGACATTATCTCAATCGCGTAATGCGTGTAAAAAACTAGTATATACATAAAATCAATAAAGAAGCGGTTAAAAAATCATAATGAGATAGTTAAAAGCAAAGGGAATAAAGCAGTAGTGAAAGAAACCCCGATGTTGAGAGGTATTTGTTTCAAACCATAGACCTATACTAGGTCCAAATACACATTTGCCAACCCATCTAACTTATCTTAATTTCTTTTACTTTTACCACTTTTCGAATATCTATATGAAAAACATGTACTATATATACATAATTATATATATATATATATATATATATATATATATATATATATATATATATATATATATATATATATATATACAAGGGCTATATATGGGGTGGGGTGGAGTGAATGGGGGTAGCTGCCCCCACTGTCCCCATGCTGAATGCGCCCCTGCACGTTGGTTGAGGAGTAATTCGCTGCAATCTGGTAAGTTTTCAATGTTCAAAATTTTTAATTTGTAAAATATTTGTGTCTATATTTCCTCTTATTCGCAGATGGATTGATGAGATGAGAGCAGATTAGGGTTCGTCTCTGGCAATTTTGAGATTTTTTTTTTTAATTTTTTCGCACTTTGGCTAGAATAAGAGGTTAGTAGTAGTCCGAGATTGAAAAGTCAATGAAAATATCTATTTTATCCCTTCTTGAAATGTAGAATTTTTTCTCTGGTGATTAATTGACAGAAAATCAGCCGGAAGGACCATTTTTGTAACAAAAACAATAGTTGTAGATCGAAATTGCAAAGTTTGAATGTTGTGGATCAATCTTATGTACGCAGTCCAACTATATTGTATGTTATATTTTATATTTTATCTTTTTATTTTTAATTTTTATTTAAATTCATGATAATATAATTCTTTCGTGTAAGAAACCGGCAAAACACTAGTTTATATTTTTATTTCTCAATCATTATTGTGTGGACCATGGTCCACACAAACTGTGTAGACCATATTTTGTATACTATAAAATAATGTATATTTAATACACAAATAATATATTTTGAGTATATTAAAAATGTATTTTATTTTTTTAAAAAAAGTACATTATTTGAATATTAAATATATATTATTTTATATAATATTCATTCGTTACACAAATAATGTATTTTTAGTACATTAAAAATGTACTTTCTTTTATAATTTATACAACACTATGTGGACCATGGTCCACACAATAATATGCAAAGGTAGTCTTGGATCCTCCACAATATGGAAAATTATGCCCTGGAAACGTGTTCACCATGAATGGTGAACACGGGTCCAAACGGTGCCGTTTTTACGTAAAAAAAAAAAAAAAAAAAAAAATTGTTAATGTGGTGTTAATGACGCGTGTTTGGTCAGATTATGAATTTTATGTTATGAGATTATGAATGTACTGCAAATTCATAATCTCATACCAGAAAGTTCATAATCGCATAAAAGAAAAACATTTATTAAATTATCAATTTTCTGTTATGAGATTATGAATTTACAGCTATGTAATTATGAATTTTCTGTAAATTCATAATCTCATAACATAAAATTCATAATTTCATAACAGAAAATTCATAATTGCATAAAAGAAAAATATTTATTAAATTATGAATTTTCTGTTATTAGATTATGAATTTACAAAAAATTCATAATCTCATAACAAAAGATTCATAATCTCATAACAGAAAATTCATAATTTCATAAAAGAAAATTCATAATTTCATAACTGCACATTCATAAATCCATGCAATTATGAATGTGCAGTTATGAAATTATGAATTTTCTTTTTATGAGATTGTGTTGAAGAAGCTTGCGCGAAGAGGAAGTGAAACCGCAAAATGTGAAAATGAAGAAGAAAAGTCGCAGGATTTTAAGGGAAAAAAAACGAGATAACGGTGCACTGTTACTGTTGGGACCGTGTTCATGGTGATCACGGTTCCATGGCATAACGATCCTCCATAATATGTTTAGCGATAAAAAGATGCTCTAATACCCAAGTAAATGCCCTTTTCCCGGATATACTTTTGAATCCATAGAAATGCCCCCTAACATATATTGCTTTGACTATTATATTACTATATATATATATATATATATATATATATATATATATATGCTTACATTTTCTTCCCACCCCACACTCTACTACCTTCATAATTCACAACCTTCCATTCCCACTCTTCACAATAAAACTTTACTCTATAACTAGTAAAAACTATATTCTTGGTTTCTTTCTAATACAAGTAAAAATATGAGTGATGAGATATAAATTTAAATTTATTACTTAAAAAAAAATGTAACTCATCACAAAATGTTACCCAAAAAAAAAAATATTATATTACATGTTGTTGACTTAATCATTAAGCAATTTAAATAACAGTGAAATACAAAGTATAATATCGCTCAATTCATTCTCTTAATCATCCATCATATGTCACAATAATCTATCAAGTACTAATATTATATATATATATATATATATATATATATATATGTATATATATATATATATGTATATATATATATATATATGTATATATATATATATATATATATATATATATATATATATGTATATGTATACATATATATACATATATATATGTATATATATATACATATATACATATATATACATATATATATGTATATATATATATACATATATATATATATACATATATATATATATATATATATATATATAGTTGAGTTCAAATGAGGACAAGTATATTATAGAGGACTGTGAGGACAGATGTAGTGTGCCACAGTTTGTATGTCGCGTGCATAAATTTGTTAACTAATAGAGCCTGGGTTCGAAACCTAATGTTTACATATTCTTGTGTATTAAACTAATATTTCACCCATGCGATGCACGGACATAAAATTTTAAATATTGAATTTATGTTAAGAAATTGATAGTAATGATTTTTGTTATTATAGTTGCATCATTACACAATTTTTCGAAATTGGAAGCGTTTCTAAAGTTAAAAAGATTGTTACATATATACAAAACAATAATAACATTATGATATGACATTGAAAATCCCAAAAAAATTAGAAATTATTAAAAATTTCTTTGTGCAAATAATAATAATAATAATAATAATAATTAGTAATAATTATTATTATTAATATCTTACCCAAATTTTTGCGCTTCAACCGAGACTGCCGATCTGCCCTTCGTCTTCTTCCCCCACTTTTGCCGATCTGCCCTTCGTCTTCTTCCCCCACTTTTGCCGATCTGCCCTTCGTCTTCTTCCCCATTTCTGCTGATCTGTCCTTAGTCTTCTTCGTCAAACCAACCCTCCTTCCACACTCTACAGAAATGGAGACGAATTCATATAAAATCAAAAGATCACCTCACTCCGTAATCCCCCGGTTCAACCCAGTTTTCTTCCCCATTTCTCCTCCTTCCGTCGTCGTCTTCCTCGCCAAACCGACGACATCACTCCGTACACAGAAATAGAGACGAAGCCGTAGAAAACCAAAAGTTCACTTCACTCCGTAATCCCTCACACTAAATTTAACTCCAATCCGCAACTATTTAGCTAAAATAATTAGCTAAACCAATTATTGCAGCCCTTCGTACCGTCTTCGACCTAAGTTGCTTCGAAAGAGAAAACTCAACATCCATGGCTATACAGAGGTTGTCTACATCATCTGATAAGCTTCAATTACTCTTTACTTAATTAATTAAATAAAAAACCTAACTCTTTATCTACGGGTCTATGTACATCTGCGATTGAAGAAGGAAAATAAGAGTTGAAAGCCACTCCAAAGATTTGACAGTGTACATGCAGAGCAATCATGAAATAGAAATGGTCCTCTCCAAAAATCTAAGAAAAAACTGATAAAGGTAAATACATTCTGACCTAAAAAATTTATTAATTTTCCCAAGATTTATATTTTAATGTCTGGAAATTTGTATAAAAATAGATTCTTAGCTAAATATAATTTATGTGTGTATTTTTAGGTGTAATTGTTTTGTAATATGGCTGTAAAAAAACACATGGAGAGGATCAAGGTTTGTGTGCAAGAGAGATTATGAAGTCTGAAAGTTTCTTTTAGAGAGACAATAACTATCTGATAAAGATAAGTAGCCTATTTACTCAAAAGTTAACTGTAGCTAAAACACTAATTTGTACTCTTCTATGTGTGATTTTATTATCTATAAATATTCTGGAAACTCTAATTTGTACTCCAGTATTAATACCCCTATGCTTTTCTCCAAATCTTTTTTATTTTTTTTTTGTTTTTATTTTATTTTATTAAATGAGCATAGAAATAGAATCAGGAGGGACAGAGTCCCAGTACAAAGCTTGGTCCTGATCAAAAGCTAACGAAGTTAAAGTATGAGCAGCTAAATTTAAAGTTCTAGTAATGTAATTTAAAGAACAATAATCAAAAGACGATATAAGTGTCCTGCACTGGTCATCAATCATTCCAATATAGGATAAAGTAGTCCTTGAGCTTCAATGTATGATGTTTCGTAGCTCCATGCGATCAGTAAGCAGATCCACTTCAAGTGTATTGTGCTCCTTAAGCCATGAGAGAGCCTCCTTACAAGCTAACGCTTCTGCCATGAGAGGCGAAAAAGCACCAAGCAACTTGCCACTTTTTGCCGCCACAAAAGAGCCATCGTGACCTAGTAAAAAAATCTCATACGTCGCATCTCCCATGATTTGCCTATAGCTAGCATCTACCCAACATTTCATCCTGGTGTGTGTGGGGGGCGTCGACACAGGCGAGGGAGCTGAGGGCGGCGTAGGCTGCTGCCGCTGGTGAACTTGTCGGAAGGCAGCCGCGGCTATCCGTGTGCATCTCCAAGTATTTCCAGGTTACGGCAGTGCTTTGTCCCAAACGACGGAATTGCGGGCTCGCCATATATGGTAGAGCACACCCACCACCATTCATACCTGCTCCTCTGTCAAGGCGTTGAAAATACTCATAAGCCATAAGGGAAAAGAATGCACCGCAATATTCGTAACAGGTAATTGTGAAACATTCCAAACCCTCCTAGAATAATCACAAGATATTAGAGCATGCATAACACTTTCATGTGCTAAATCATACATTGGGCATGCAGGGCTCACTTCTACCTCTTTATAATCAAATTTTCCATGGTGGGTAGGATATCACATATAGCTCTCCACAGGAATGTCTTCCATTTAGGCGGAATCTTTAATTTCCACATTGTAACCCATTTATCAAACCACCCAGATTATCAGCATAATCCCCCACTATTCGCCTATAGACAGTCTTAACAGTGTATTCTCCTCTCGAGTTTCCCATCCAATACCATGAGTCCTCATAATCTGGACTAATAGGGATAATAGTAATTCTATTTGCATCATCAGGAATAAAAAGATCAGACAGAATATGTGGATCCCAGGTCTTAGTTTGTGGGTCAATTAGACCAGCTACTCTTGCTTCCCTTAATTCCTCAGGCATAATCGTTTGAACTAAAGGACTGGGGTTATCTGGTAGCCAGGGATGTCCCCAAATCAGAGTTGTCTGTCCATTGCCAATCCTTCGTCGTATTCCTGCACACACCAAACCATGTGCCGCCATAATACTCCTCCAATAGAAGCTCGGGCAATTTCCTATGGTAGCATCCAAAAAACTAGTCGTAGGGAAATATTTAGCTTTATAAATTCTTGCGGCTTGGTTTAGTTAAGAAACGCCACACCTGTTTCCCTAACATAGCCAAATTAAATGCACGTAGCTCCTTAAAGCCCAATCCACCGTACTTTTTTGGGACACATAACTTATCCCAAGCCTTCCAATGTATTCATTTGCCTGTACCATTCCTCCACCAAAATTTATTCATGGTCCGCTCAATAGATAAACAAATTGTCTCAGGCAGCAAAAAGACACTCATTGAAAACGTAGGCATAGATTAAGCCACACTTTTCAATAAAATCTCCTTACCAGTTTTTGACAACAACTTCTTATTTCATGAACCAATCCTCCGTCTAATCTTGTCTTCCACATATGCAAAGACAGTTTTTTTCCTTCTACCCACAAAGGATGGTAGACCCAAATATTTCCCAAAATTGGCTGCCTGTACAACCTGTAAACAGTTCGCCACCTGTTACCTGTCATCTTCTTGGGTATTCTGACTAAAACAAATACTTGATTTATCATAATTCACCACCTGACCAGATAACTTCTCGTACCTTATGAGACATTTCTTAATAACACTGGCCTCCTGTATATTCGCATTAAAAAATAACAGACTGTCATCTGCAAAAAACAAATGTGACACAGAGGTGCTCCTCTAGCCACTCTACAACCATGTATTGAACCTATTATCTGTGCTCTCTGCAACAACATTGAAAGTCCCTCTGCACAAATAATAAAAAGATAGGGAGACAGGGGATCCCCTTGCCTGAGTCCACGGGTGGGCGTTACACGTCCCCCTACTTCCCCATTCACCAAAACAGTATAGCTAACAGTATTCACACACAACATAATTAGTCGAATCCACCTGTCATTAAATCCCATGACTGACAACATTTTTTCAAGAAAAGACCACTCCATCCTATCATAGGTTTTTGACATATCTAGCTTTAACGCACTCCACCCGACTAAACCACATTGTTTTCTGTTCAGATAGTGCCCCACTTCTGCTGCAACAAGAATGTTATCCGTGATTAGCCTACCTGGGATAAACACACTCTGGGACTCTGAGATAAGGTCCCCCATTAGTGGTTTCATCCTATTAGCTACCATCTTGGCCATTATTCTATAGATAACATTACTCAAAGCAATCAGTCTCATATCCGCAACCGTTTTCGGTGTGTCCTTTTTTGGGATCAACACAATATTAGTGTCATTCAAACCATCTGGGAAAGCACATGTGTTTAAACATCTTACTATAAACTCCGACACATCCAACCCCACTATACTCCAGAAATGCTGGTAAAACCCTGGATTCATTCCATCCGGGCCTGGAGCCTTATCAGGAAACATAGAGAAAATGGCTTCTTTAACCTCATCAACTACAAAATCACGCTCCAACATAACATTCTGATCATGGGAGACCCAGGGTTGGAAATTATCAAATAAGGGGTCAGAACTAGGGCTGGGCATTTCGGTTCGGTTTATCCGAACTGAACTGAATCGAATCGGTTCAGTTCGGCTTCAAACCGAAGAACCGATCGGTTCGGTTCGGTTCGGATTTAACCCGAACCGAACCGAAAAACCAATCGGTTTTCTATTTTTATTAATCATTAATAGATATTTATTATATTAAATGTTTAAAATGAGGTATGAACCCTTACTCATTTGGTTATAAACTAAGAGCTTTACCCACTAAGCTATACCCACATTCATGTCTATATGCACATTTGTATGCTAATAAGGGTATACATTTTTCATTAAATATTGCACACTTCAAATATAATGAATAAAATTATCCGTACTACATTCTTGTTAGACTAAATATCATTATACCGTTATTACACCGTTGCTATTTAATTCTAAAAGTTTCATAATTCTATCATTGTTATCACACACACACACACACACACACACACACACACACACACACACACACACACACACACACACACACACACACACACCACACACACACACACACACACACACACACACACACACACACACACACACACACACACACACACACACACACACACACACACACACACACACACACACACACACACACACACACACACACACATATATATATATATATATATATATATATATATATAAAATTAACTATGATACCTTTTTCCTATTCTTTAATTATCATTTTATTAAAATCATTATATAATTACTTTAATTGTTGATTATATTTTAATTAAATTTCTATGTATATAAATATTATAATAATTAATAATTTTATCTCCTCAAGTCCTCAAATCTCAACTCCAAGTTGTAAGTCCCAACATTTGGTGTTTTAGTAATTTTTATTTTTCAAATATTAACTATAGATGAATGATTTTTCATCTAGTCATCAACAAAACACTTCAAGTGAGCCAACTGAACAATCGGTCAGGCAAAAAAAGAAACGTCCAAATAGTAGACTTTCACCAAAATCGAACCAAAACCGAACTTTTCAAACCGAAACCGAAACCAAAACCGAACTCTATTTTAAACCGAATGGTTTAATTTTTTTAAAACCGAAAAAAACCGAACCGAAACCCGAAGTGCCCAGCCCTAGTCAGAACAACTGGCCATATTAGAAGCAAAAATACTCCTAAAATAATCCAAGATGACCGAATGCATATCATTCCCTTCCACCCACACCCCAGCATTATTTTTTATACTAGCAATATAATTCTTTTTCTTACGAGCAAAGGCATACATGTGATAGAAATTTGTATTAGCATCTGCGCCCCGGAGCCAGTGCTGCTTGGCTCGCTACTTCCAAAAAACATCTTCCTGGGCCTCCAATTGATTTAGTTGATTATTTATTTGTTGGAATTCAGCTAAGCCAGCCGGATCCCTTCGGTGTTTAATATTCTCCATCATCTGCCGCAGCTGCCTAATGCAGTCTCCAAATTTATGAAAATGATCCCTTCCCCACCGCATCAACTTCCCTCCACAATATTGCTGACAATTCAGCAACCCCTCAGACCTCCCCTCCTGCCACGCAGTCATTACCACATCCTTACACCCCTCATCTAGGAGCCAGGCCATCTCAAATCTGAAACCCCTTAGTCCCCTTCCCCTCCTGATCGCATTAATGTTAAGGTAGAGAGCCGTGTGATCCGAACCACGAGTTCGTATATTCTCTACCCATGCGTTCTGATTCATACCACCCCAATCTGTCGTTGCCAAGACCTTATCCAATCTTTCCTCTATCCAATTTGGTGACCCCTTACTCTTCTCCCATGTGAATTGGTAGCCTCTAATGGGCATCTGCACCAGACCACAGTCATCTATAGTCTCTCCAAAGCCGCGTAAAAGACTACTAGGATGCATGTTTCCCCCTCTCTTCTCATGCTGATACAAAAGATCATTAAAGTCTCCTATCACCACCCATGGCAGAGAGGATCTATCATGCAACGTTTTCAACAATTCCCATGACTCCCTCCACCTATGTCGTTGCAGAAAGCCATAAAAACACGT